CTTGGTGAACTGGAAACATATTTCAACAAATGTCAGTGAATGGTTATTGGGCTGCTGAGTTACGTTACTTCGCTGGTCCTGTCTTCATCTTTCCTCTCTGTTTTCCTAATGAAACACTTGCCAAACATTTACCAAACCCCTATTTTGTGCCATGGAGAAAAATCAAACTAACTGTGTTCAAACAATTCGTAACCAAGTGCGCGAACCTCCAAGTACCCTCTCAATCACATGAATCATGCAGAAAGTACCTGGTTAACAGATGAGCTAACAAAGTGCTATGTGAGCGTGGAGGGTGGGCAGATAGGGGCTGGTCCAGATCCCTGAAGACCAAGCAGCACTTCTCCAGACAGAGATGGAGGGAAGGACTTCCTAATGAGAAGGAACAGCATGTGTGAAAAGCACGGTAGTGTGAGGGTCCGTGGCCCTTCTGGTGTCATGTGGCTGATTTTTGCAAAAGGGATCTCATGGAGAGTCATGAGAGACAAAGCAGAGAAAGCAGTGTGAAGCCAGAGGGGGGATGATAGATTGAATGTTTGTATCCCCCGCCAAAATTCATGGGTTGAGACTGAATCCCCCATATGATGGTGTTTGGAGGCAGGGCCTTTGGAAGGTGATTGGGTCATGAGGGTGGAGCTCTCATGGATGGGATTAGTGTCCTTATAAAGAGACTCCAGAGAGTAAGCTTGTCCCTTCCACCATGTGAGGACACGAGGAGAAGGCAACCATCTATGAATCAGGAAGTGGGTTCTCATCAAACACGGAATCAGCAAATGACTTGATGTCAGCTTCCCAGCCTCCAGAACCATAAGCAATGAGTTTCTGCTGTTTATTAGCCACCCCATCTATGGTATTCTGTTACAACAGCCAGAAGAGACTAAGACAGTGGGGAACTAAGTCTTATCTCTTGGGCAATGGGGGAGTTTTGGGCAGGTTTTAAGTAAGAGTGTAACATGAGCAGATCCTTCTGGCTTTAGTGTTGAGGCTGCCCTGGGTGACAGGAACCAGGAGGCCAAGGCGGAGAGGGAAGGAAAAAGCTGCCTCTGTCAAATTAGTCCCCAGCACCTTAAAGGCGGCCCTTGGAGGATGCATTCCTCTTGCACAGAGGCAGCTAGATATGGAGCCCACCCCTGTCCCTTTGACAAACAATTTGGTGCTCTCACCAGTGATCACTGGATCCCAGATGGCTTTTGGATCTGCTGCCCCACCCCTAGAGCCTGCACCCAATCTTTTCTGAATCCTTTGTGGCAGACACAGAGGTGTGCTACTCAGCTTTCCCTTTATGAGAGAACTTGATTATCCGCAAGGAGTACATCAGGTAGCTGAGAGCTTTCAGCTAGCAGTGCCTTCAGGGTCTGCCTTAGCTTTTATGCATTGTTGGATTCAATTTGCGAGTTTTGGGAGGATTTTTATATCTACGTTCATGAGAGATATTAGTCTGTTGTTTTCTTTTCTTATAATGTGTTTGGTTTTGGTATTAGGATAATGCTAGCCCCAGATGAGTTAGGAAGTAAGCCCTCTGCTTCTATATTCTGAAAGAGGTTGTAGAAAATTGGTGTAATTTCTTCCTTAAGCGTTGGGTGGAATTCACCAGTGAACCTATCTGGGCCTGGTGCTTTCTTTGTGAGGGTTATTGATTATTGACTCGATTTCTTTAAAAGATAATACGCCTACTCAGATCACCTATTTCTTCTTGTGTGAATAACCTAGGTTATCAAATTTGGGGGCACAGAGTTACTCATAGTATTCCTTTATTATCCTTTTAATGTGCATGGGATCTGCAGTGACAACCCCTCTTTCACTTCTGATATTGGTAATTGTGTCCTTTCTTTTCTCTTAGCTAACCTGGCTAGAAGATCATAGATGTTATTGATCTTTTCAGAGAACCAAGCTTTTGATTTTGCTGATTTTCTCTATTGAGTTCTTGTTTTCAGTTTATTGATTTCCGCTCTTTTTAAATTATTTTTCTTTTGCTTACTTTGCTCTTCTTTCTAGTTTCTTAATGTGGAAGCTTAGATTATTGATTTTAGAGCCTTCTTCTTTTCTAGTATATGCCTTTAATGCTCTAAATTTCCTTCTAAAGAGAGCTTTTGCTGCATCTCTCAAATTTTGATAAGTTGTGTTTTCATTTTCAGGTAGTTCAAAATATTTTAAAATTTTTCTTGAGATTTCTTTTTTGACGCATTAGCTATTTGGAAGTGTGTTCTTTAATCTGCAAATATTTTGCAGTTATCTTTCTGTTACTGATGTCTAGTTTAATTCCACTGTGCTCTGAGAGCAGACATGTGTGACTTCTATTCTTTCAATTGGTTGGTGGTGTGCTTTATGGACCAGAATGTGGTCTATCTTGGTGAAGTTTGGAAAGAATATGTAATCTGCTGTTGTTGGATGAAGTAGTCTATAGATGCCAATTATATCTAGTAGTTTGGGGGTGGTGTTGAGTTCAACTATGTCCTTACTAATTTTCTGCTTGTAGATGGACCCATGCCCCTCACCCCAGAAGCATGAGGGGATTTTTCCCTGATATTCACTGTGAGACCTGGTAGAGATCCAGGAGATAAAACTCACAAAAATGTGGGGGTCCTGATGACTGGGACCCCCTGGAGAGTTTTCAACTCTCAAAGCTGTCCACATTGAGCCCCAGACATTTGTCAATTACAATTCAGGTTATCTCACCCAGGCCATGGTTTCCATGGAGGTTTCTGCTCTGGTGGGTTGTGAATCTTGGTATCACCTGTCAGTCTCTCCAGTTTGGGGAGGGGGGTAGAGGTTTACCTTGTGACTTCACTTCTCCTACAGATATAAGAAGAGTTGTTGATTTTTCAGTTTGTCAGCTTTTTACCTGTTGGAGGAAGTGATGGCTTCTAGGCTTTTTACATGCTGGATCAAAAACCAGATATGTGGCTTATCTTAGCTTTTGAACAGAGGCCAAGCTCTTCTTAGCCTGTAGCCAATGACTGAGCAGACTGGGGTCTTTAGGGCCTGGCCATTTCTACACAAGGGACTCTTCTGTTGCATTGTCTGAGACTTGGACCACTGTCCGAAGTTCTCGCTACCTGATCCTGCTTCCTCCTCCTTTATCTTTCACAGGTATTACCCTCTAGTACCCTGTTTATGTTCCTAACTCTGTCTCAGCATCTGCTTGCCAGGGAGTCCACCTGGTACATTTGATCAATACTGTTGTTTCCAGGAGGAGAACAGGGAAATCTATGAGCCACGGATGTGGATAATCTGATTTACAAGGTGTAGCTTGCTAACCTTCAGGCTGGGCTCCACCACTCATCCTGTCACAGGTCCCCCTTTGGCTGTGCTGCTATGAGCCACCCTACAAGCACCAGGTGGGAGTGAAGACCTCAGCACCTGGCCTCTTCAGAGTCCAGAAAAAGGAGGAGTTTCTGCCTCTCTGTTAAAATCAGTTTTTGCTTGAAGACCCACCTTTTCCATCAGCACCTGACACAAATGATGCTTTCTCCAGAGATGGTGAACTTCTTCTGGAATGCTTTTGTGGAAACCTTGTCGTAACACAACAATAGTCCTGGTGTTCTTATAAGAAGAAACATGGGGAGTCACGGAGCAGGTGGTGGTGGTGGGTCCTCATATCATCGTGGAAAGCAATCCCCACAGTGGAGCTGAGAGATGAGGAAGGCTTGAATTATGGCAAGGGCTGTGGGAGTAGGGTGGATGTGGGGCTGGGAGAGTGGGTCAGAATGGACCAGATTTCATCACTGCGGGGAATGAAGGAGTTACTAGTGACCATCACGAGTCTGACTGAGGTACCTGGGGGATGGAGATGTATTCACTTCGTTGGGGATCCAGGAGGAGTTGGAGGTAATGTGGGGGAGAAAAGTGACTTCGGTTCAGTATCTTTTGATTTGGGGATGCCTGTGGGATATCTAAGGGAAGGCATCCCGATCGCTGCCTGACTTTTAGTTTTCTTTCGTTCTGCTTGCAAAATCAGAGAGAAGCAGCATCCTGTCAGGGGCTGTTGCTTTCCCTTTGGTCCCTCTGCTGGGTTTTCTCCAGCCCCTTGCCCTCAGGCAAGAGAGGAAACAGCAGCGCAGTCTGCTGGGGGCTGCAGGGCAGGCTCTTAACACAGCAGGGCCCTTCAGATGTTCCGAAACTGACAATCCCAGGTCTACCACCTGCCAGCATCTGTTCCCAGAGACACAGCATCACAAACTCTCCGGACTGGAAGGGACGTTAGAGGTCATCCATTCCAGCCTCGGGGTTGGCATTCTCAGACTGTTCTAATAATTTAAGAGTTCCTCCTCCTATGAATGCGGGAGGCTTTCTTCTGACTTCTCCTTAATATGCTGTTCAAGACATGGTCCACCCATGCGCTTCCTTCCTCCGGAGACGTGTGCCGGCAGCGGGGGGTGGGGTGGGGGGGTGGGCGGGGGAGCTCACGTTTGTGGGTCCAGCAGGGAGGGATGATGCTACAAGTCCAGATTGGAGAACACAGTTCTTTCTGTCCTTCACACTACAGCTACGAGAATGGTCTCCATGGTTACGGCAGCTTCTCAGAGGTGCCTGGATGTTCATTTTCTCTATTTCCCTAAATGTCTAATTTATGAATAATCTGTTTAGGTAACTTGCTGGAAAGTTTCTGTATGTATATGAAAATCAAGAAATAGATATTCAAAACAACAAAAAAAGTAGGCTGATAGGCATTTTGGATATATTCTTTTCTTCTACGAATAACAGAAATTAAGATTGACTTGAAAAATTTCAAGTTAAACAAGATTCAATGAAAGAAACACTGCCTTCATGTTCTTCAAAGGCATGTGAGCCAGAGAGGGGCTGGAGCTAACCTAATTATGTTTTCTTTAATGTGAAATAGCTATTTGCCTGACATTCCATTTGCATCTCCCCATCACATTCAAATGGCTGGGACATTGATTTTTTTTTTGTTCTCCTAGGGCTCCCTTTGAACATGAAAGTGTTTTTTCCCTATTTTTTTAATCCCTTGTGAGAGCAGTGATAAGAACAGATTGATAATTACATTGTTGGATAAAAATGAATATAAATTTTATTGAAAAACAACACCAGCAACAATGTGCGGAAAGCATACTCAACAGCCACTGGCCCACACAACTCAACACACACGTTATGAAAAGTAATCACCTCTTAAGATTTCCAGCTACTTGTTCCAAATGAAAAGAAATGATAGACCCCAGATAAAACTGATGCGGGACACAGATGCACATCACCTCTGAATACACTGTTAACAGCAAAGGATGTGGCAACACTGTTCACCTCATGTTTGCTGGGGGCGATCTAGTGTACTTCAAGGATGAACTGGTTTAGAGAGAATTTATCCTTCCAGTTAGCATAGCATCTCAAACCCAGACCACCGGGGAAACGTTTCTACATTTCAAGTCCTTTGAGAAGAGGATTTCACAAACTTTCTTGGCACCTTGCCCCTCCTGCTTAAAAACAGGAAATAGTTCTTTATGTCTAGCCTAATTCCTTCATGCTTCAGTTAATCTATTTATGTCCTTTTAATCTCAGCAGGCCATGAGGAGTCTGTCCTGGTGGGACAATGCAGCATATGGGGAACTCACAATGATCATAATCAGATTGAAACGGAGTCCAGCTGTGCGGCTGGCGCGTCGGAAACAAGCTGAAAGGAGTTCATCGCAGTTGTGGTTGTAGCCCATTTGCCCCCCACTCCGGCACCCTCCCCGACCTTCTGCACCCTTCTGCCTGTGGCCTGAGGGCTGCCACCCCAGGACTTGCCAGCCAAAGCCCTGAGTGTGATCAGTCTCGGTCCTTCACCGGCGTAGTGACGAGTGCGGTCAGAGCTGTCCCTTCCAGTCCCATATCCAGTGTTTCCGTTTCAAGGCGCGATTTCCCGGCAAAAGACTCCCCAGTATTACATGCCGTGTCTTCTCGCCCGGCCAGGCAGTCCCCAAGCTCGCCTCACAGCTTGCGCGTGGCAGAGACGTGCTCCGTGTGCGCACGAGGAAGCACCCAGGGAACTGAACATAAACATCTCAGCAGATATTTCAGATTCTGCGTAAAAAACCCTGGCGAGCGACTTGGCCGCGCAGTGCTGCTCGCCGGCAGCTCCGCGTTCTGGGCACCAGGGGGCGCCCGAGCCATTCCACCGGTCGCGGGGACTCCAGCACCAGGAAACAAAGATGGGGATTTGAATAAAAGGCTTCGGAATGCAACCCTGAATTCTACCCTGAGCAGCATGCGTGTAAAAATTCATGAAGATTGGATTTCATTTCATGTATTTTTACTTCAGTGGAAAGAAATACAGGTGATTTCTGACTGTGCCTACAGCTGTCTTTACGAAGCGGGGGTCTGGTTAACGCAGAGGGAGGGGCGCGCGGTTGCTCTGCAGCTGGGGCCTGGGCTTGGTTCCTGGGCAACTCCTACTGTGCCGGGGGTGGGGGGGGACTGGGGGGGGTGGCATCCTCTGCCTGCTCCAGAATGTACTGATTAGTTATATTATTTTTAAAAAGATACACGTTCTCATCGGGGCTAGCCATGGCTCTGGGTCCAGGGAGTGACGTGAGTCATAGAAGGCACTTACTATTTGGATAAAACACAGCACCTTTCTTTCAGCCCATAAAATCAAAGGTATGAAAAAAGGCTGTTTTCGGGGTGTAAGAACTCCCCTTGTTTTCCTGTCGTAGTTAGTGCACAGCGGTTCCGCCTCTGGGGGCTTCGTGCATTTTCCAGGCATGCGTGTCAACTGTGCCAAAGGCTTGGGGGGCAGAGCCTGCCAGAGGGCACAAGACACAGTCCAGGCGAGAGCCCAGACCCCCCATGATGTTCTGCCCTGGTGTTCCAGGCCCCCAGCCTGGGCACCCCTGTCACATGGCTCTGGGCCAGGTCCAAGCTGGGGGGCACCAGGGACCTTTGGGGAGATGCGGGACTGAAGTGTTGGGAGCCTGGAACTTTAGGCAGGCCTGTTTGAGGGCGGCTGCTGCTGCCCACCCTGAGCTCTGAGATGGCAGGGGCGGGACCCCCTGGTTCCCTCCATAACCCCGGCATCGAGCACGGAGCCCTGTGCTAAGTAAGTGCCCCGTGAACATTTGCCGAATACACAAATGTGAGGATGAAGGCAGAGGAGGCGTGAGCATCCAGCTGGCCTGGCTGTCGCTGAACCTGAGGACATTTAGAACAGTAGTTGGGGGGGGTGCTGGGCCACTGCCCGCTCTCGGGGTGAGGGCGCGGAGACGGGAGGGGCCCCAGAGTGGAGCAGCCAGGAGGCGGGGAGCCCCTACAGGGGTTCCTTGTGCTGGGACGGGGCTGCAGTGGCCACGCAGGGCCTCTCCCTCCTTCCCTCTGGGCTGCCCTTGTAGGAAGGAGCCAGGCTTGCTGCTGTTGCCATGGCAACACGGGCCTGAGGTGCTGCTAAGGCTCCTAGGGCTGGAGCTGGCGTGGACGGCAGGACCCCAGGGGTCTCTCATGTCAGAGACAGGCAGGAAGGGAGATGGGATGTGGACAAGCACAGAAGCGGCTCCCGGAGCGGGTGGAGGTTCCCCTGTGTGGGCTTTGCTGGTAGGGAGCCTTGGGGGCTGGCAGAGCCCTGTTATTTCATGAGTCTTCTCGGCACTACGGTGTTTGCACTCCTCCCTGCCCGGCCTCCCTGCCTGGGTCTTTAGGGCTATCACCAAGGCCCCCCCCCCCGCCGCCCCAGGGCCTAGCAGCCTCCTGAAGCTCCCCGTGAAAGTGCAGGCTGGGGCCTGAAGCCCGGGCTCTGAGAGGGCCTGGAGGGCCAGCGACTCCCTAGACTGAACTGGCCTGTGGGCCCGTCGGGAGCACGGAGTCGGAGGCCTCACAGCCTCAGACTCAGGTGGCAGGGCTGCTGTGTTGTCCCCCGCCCTCTGGCCCTCCCCCCAGGGCACCCAAGAGCGGGCCCTGGGAGCCTCCTCGTGACCTTCCTATTGCCACATGGCCATTGTGTCCGGGGACCGTGGGGCCTCGGGCCGGGTGCGGGCTGGTCAGCTTCCTCGTCACACCTTCTCTTTTTTAGGGCTCTTGAAGAGCGAGGGGCAGCAGGAATGCAGATGGTCAGGTCTGGGGGAAATAATGGTAGGCCGACCGTCCCTGGGGTCCAGGAATTGGTGAGAAACACTGAGGCTATCCGAAACGGGCTCTGTGATTCAGGATGACTCAGCCTTGCAGATCAGGTCCCTCCTGGGCACGGAGGAGAATTCTCTCATCATCACGTGCAAAAGCTTTCTGTCTGGGCAACCTCCCTGCTTTCCCGCATCAGCCCTATAAAGACAACAAGAGCATTCCTACGCGAAGGGGGCGTCTGGGCAGTGGTGTACCCTTTACAATACCTTGGATTTACATAGCACCTTTGTCTTCTACAGGGCCTCTGCCTCAGTCCCCTGGGCCACGGCCACAACCGGGTGAAGCCATGGGAACGCCGACACCCTCGCCTCCGTGGCGAGCAGAGAGCGAGGCAGAGGCCTCCAAGAGACTGCGTGCAGACTTGGTGGTGTCCAGGGCCCTCCCTGGGCAAGTCTGGCCTCGGCCCTCTGGGCGGGGGTGGCCGGGGGCCGCCGGGCCTCACTGGGCGTTCACTTTGTACTTCAGGATGTAGGAGTAGAAGCTGTGGTTGGCGTTCTCCAGCACCATGACGTAGATCTCGCGGCAGCCAGCCGTGCTGCAGCTGCCCTCCCAGTAGCCCTCCCTAGTCAGGGTCAGGGGCCACGTGTCCTGCCCCTTCACCAGGGCTTTGGCGACGCCGTGGAGCTTCAGTTTGAACGGGACGTTCCGGTTGGCAGGAAGCACGCCCGACAGAGGCTCCAGCAACTCATTGTCCTGCCCCCAGTTGCCAAAGCTCTCGGGGAACATGGGCCAGTTCACCTTGGTGTTGGTGCAACACAGCAGATAATTGAAGACGAAGACGTAGTTGCCCGGCTCCAGCCTCTTCTTGACAAAGATCTTGAGGGCGAACTTGCCGGCCCGGGGCAGCTGGACCTTCAGCTCTGCCCGCTTCTGCCGCTGCACCTGGAAGATGTAGCGCCGCTGCGTCTCCTCGGTGACGGGGCCCTCGTCCCCATGCAGGGAAGCCAGGACGCTGATGCCCTCCTCCACGCCGAAGCTGACCGAGCAGCGCCCGTCGCCGGTGTGGATGATGGGGTCGGGGTGGGAGGGCTTCACGATGCCCATCTGCTCCGAGAACCAGCTGGGGCCCACGGGCTGGTGCAGCTCGGCCGGCAGCCGGACACTGATGTCCACGTAGTTGCACTTGAGCGTGTACTCGAGCACGGAGCTGTAGACGTCGGAGCTGCCTTTGGCAAAGATCTGCAGCTTGTGCGTGCCCACCGTCGGAGGGTATATGTCCAGCTTCATCCCGTTCTTCCTGAGGCTCAGCAGCCCATGCTCCTGCTTGCCATTGAGCATAAACATGAAGAGCGTTGGGGCACAGCTCTCGATGGTGATGGTGGCTTTCCCGTTCACTGTGGAGAGAGCGAGCCGGGGTCAGGTGGGATGGGTCCAGGGTGTGCCGACGTGCTGCTAAGTGTTTAACAACCGGCTCTCCGCGGGAAGAAGCCCTGACTCTAGCATCTGCCCATTTCCACGGCGTAACTACTTTCAGCACCCTGGATTTTAAGCAGTCGAGGTGATGTCACCGAACAGGATGTAAGCCAGCTGAGGCACACCACTGGGGGGGCTCCCCTCCCCTCTCTAGGTGGTTCTCTTAGGGTGCGCTGAAAGCTGAGGGTCTCAAGAGAAAATCTGCCCCAGCTGTGTGTGCTTGCCTCACCCAAGTGATTCTCGCAAGACAAAGGTGGTCCGGAGGCTTAGCCTGATTCCAGAGAAGGGGAGAGGGCCCGGGGGCAAGGAGGGCCCATGACTGGTTGGAGGGCCGCCCTTTGTCTCCTTCCAGTCTTAAGTCTTGCTTCACACCGCTCCCTCCAGCCCCTGTTCATTATAGTGTCAGCCCTGTCAGGTGAACATTGGACCTGAAAACCCGGCTGGACCACTGGAGGCGGTGCTCCAGGGGCGGGGCTGCCTCCTCGCCTCCCCCTGCCCCAACCCAGGACTCTCACTTGGGCGAGGCTTGGCCCGTCTCTGGAGGGCCCTTTGCATCCACTCTCCCTCTATCTCTCCCCATGCCCTCCAGTTTTGTCTTCCTCTGTCCCAGTCACTGTTTTTCAGGGTGAGTTCTCTGGTTCTACAGCCCATGAGCACTCCCCTACCTCATCCTCCCTGCCTCACAGGACCACAGGGAGGGGCAGTGGCTCCTTGCAGAGCCTCAATCCCCTTCCTCTTGGAAGCCTCACACCTGCGCCTTGTCCCAGCAACCTCCCCACCCCGTTGGGGTTCACAGATGAGCGCAAAGGAAGGAGACAGACTACCGCCAGAACCACACTCACTAGTAACCTTTTTCGGTCTGAGGTACCACGCTCTTGATGGGGAGGTCATGTCTGGGTTCTAGGACAAGTACCCCCAAGACCTCCCCTCTAATCTGCCCCAAGGCCCCGACTCCAGGCTGCTCTGCTCCTACATTCAGTGCTAACTCCCAACCAGCCAGTGAGAATCCCCCAGCGGCAGCAGGAAAGGCTGGGAGCTTCCTGGCTGGCTCCCCTCTGCTTCTTCGTGGGCTCCAGCCCAGCCCACCCACCACCACCCCGTTCCCTCTGCTGCCATTCCTTCCCTCTCTGCTATACTTCTTATGCGGTGCTTGGTGCTTTGGTGTTATCTTCTTTGTCTACCTTCTTTCTCCACTGCCTCCAGCCACGATGGGACATCTGTCCCATGGTAACCTCCAAAAGGAAAGTGTCCAAGAACAACAGACTTGTTATCAGTCTCTCTTGGTTGAATCTCTCCTCTCCCCTGGCTTCCTCTTATAAGCCAACTCAGTGGGCAGAAGTTGTCTCAGCCTTCAACTGCTCATGACCCCGTCTTGTTCTGTCTTGCTTCCGAGTTGGCTGTGAGATCCCATGGAATTCACCTTTGATGAGGAGTGCCATCCAGCACTTCCATAGGGCCGCCCAAGGGCCCCTGGGAAATTGTCTACCTGGTCATTCCTGGGTTCACTTGTGTGGGTCACCATCCAACTGGAGACGAGCGAGAGTCCTATCCCCTCCTGCCTGGCCTGAGTCAGGACCCTCCTTTTCCGGACCACAGGGCATTCTCCCACATATCCCAGAGCTCTCACACCTGTCCTCCCCTCCACCGCTTTTCCCCAAACCTGATAAGACCTTAGCATGACGTCTGACTGCAGAGAAGCCTTTTTCCATGCCCTCAGGTGAGGTCCAGCTCCCCTGGAAGCCTCTCTTGTAGCTCCACATCTCCTTCAGGAAACTTAGCACCATTGTACTGAATTAGTTCTCTGTAATGTCTGTCTTCCCTGCAGGGGTGAGCACTGTGGGAAACTGCCCTCCTGCCTCCTTTCACGCGTGTCCCAGGGTTGCCCAGGGCGCCTGGCCCAGCAGATTCTCTGCAAAGGTGAGCTGAATGGCTGGAAGACTTGAAAGAAGGACTCTGGGGATTCTGGGGGAGCCTGTGACCTCCCCTGCGTCTCCTCTCCCTCCAACCCCCCTCTCCCCCATCAGTGGTATCCCACCCCCCACACCCCTCACACCCTCCCCCTGTCCTCTTCCTTCCCTGCTTTCACCCACCTGTTTCCCTCTTCTGCTTTCTTCCCATCCTCACTCTTAACACAACTAGCTCCAACAAAGAAAAAGTCTTGAAATATGCATCACGAATATGGAATCAAATTTGAGATTACTGTATATTAAGAATCCCAGTGTTTACATTTCTGTGTCTCTTGCAAAGGCAAGTTCTACTCCGTGGCATTAATTGGATGTTGGTGTGGCCTGGACCATTCCTCTGTGGTTCCATGGCCCACACCAGTCAGAACAGGCTCCCCATCTGATATGAGCACAGGAAACGCGTTCTCAAAGACAGCAACCTCGCGCTGTTATTTTAGCAGCAGGAGCCTCCAGGTATTTGTAGTTTTAAAAAAGTATTCAGGAGTTCAGCAAACTGGTTAGGGAAAGCAGTGTGAGGTGGAAGGGATGAATCAGCTGGCAGTAACTTGGGGACACCTGTGCTCCCTGTGCCCCTATCCCTCTACAGTGTGGGATGGGGCTCCCCTTCAGACCCACCCGGAGACCTCTTTGTGCTAACAGCCAGTGTGAGCTCAGACCCTTCCCTCCTGGGAGTATACGGGTCCCCTGGTAGCAGAGATGGTGCCAACAGGCAGGCCTTTGCGTAAGCGTGGGTGTGTGGGTGTGGGTGGGGGTGGGGGGGTAGGTGCACTGACTAGGCTGTGCTGAGCCCTGTGGTGTGTCCAGGTTATGTGTCCAGCCCTAGACCAGGCACCAGGGCCTTGGACAGACATAAGACAAAGTCCTCTGCAGTCAGCCCTGCGAGGCTTGTGACCACAGTTCTGTACCCTCTCCCACACAGCTGGCCCCCCCATAAACCTCAGAGTGCATAAACACACCTGGCTGGGTACCTGTGGCCCCTGTGGGGACGTAGGGAACAAAGGTCAGTCCAGGCCAGCTGTGGGGACAGCTCAGCTAGGTGTCCTGACCCTCCTACTCCCAGGAAAGTTGGCTGGAAAAGGCTGGACTTTGCCTCCAGGAGGGAAGCTTGTGAGGGAAGGGCACAGAGGAAGGCAGGCTGCACTTCTGGAGCCAGCCCTGGTCTAGGGGTGCTTGAGTTCAGGCGTTGGAGGGCTTGCTGTGTCCTTCCAGAGCATGTCCGTCCCTGTGTTTGGGGATGCCTGTTCTCTTCCAGCTCTTAAGACCCAGCTCAGCAGCCACTCCCTAATAAAGCCTCCCCCGGTCCTCTGTCCTGGGAGACCCCCACTGCTCTCCCACGAGCTGCTCAGACCACTGACACACAGAGCCCCGTGTGGCTGGGCCAACACGTCCTCTTTGCCAGGAGTTTGGGAGAATGCAGCAGGCTAGTGAGCTTCTGTCGGGGACCTGAACCGGGAGGTGGGGACAGCCAGGCCTGTGGTGGTCCTTCACCTGCTGCGGGAACTGGGAGAGACTCACCCAACGGGGACCCTCCAGCCCTGGCTCACTGACAGGTTGGGCTGTAAATGGGGTCCTCAGGGCCTAGGGAAACTCAAGGACTTCCTATGCATCCCCTTTTTGGCTTATGCTGCTGTGAGCCGGTGTCTGTCCCTGCAAATGTGACCTGTGGCTGTGTCCTGCGCCGATGGCCCGATGGACTTGGCTGCCTTAATAGCGTCTGCATATACATACAGCTTACACGAAGCCCACGGGCCCTGGCTGGGCCCTGACAGGGCAGTCCCCTGGGGTCCAGAGGCCTCGAGGCGCAGAGCATGCTGCTCCATCTCTGCCGCGAGATGCCGGCCACCTGCTCTGTCCCTGCCGCGAGATGCTGGCCACCTGCTCCGGGCTTACCTGTTTTGATCACAGAAGTCTCTGGGTGGGCACTCAGCATTCCCTTGTTGTAGAATTCACTCTTGTGATACATGTTGTTCTCAAACTGCTTCAGAGATTGAGGAGGTTTTAGCAGTTGCCAGTTCTTGTTGTCTGGGAAATGGTCCTCGATGAACAGTGCGGGATGGGTGAGGAAGTAGAATTCATTGTAGCTAGAGGTGGGGTGGGGGGAGCTGGTCAGTGGCCATGTGCTGTGAGTAGGCCTCAGCTCTGTAGAGAAGGAGGTGGGGCTCGCAGGGGGATCTTTGGGGCCTTCTTTTGTCTAGCGCTTCCACAGGAGGGGTCCTGCCAACAACCCGATGGGGAGAGGCACTGTGTCCGGTCTTAACATGGGCGCTGCAGATGGCCTCTCAGTGGCTGCTTCCAGAAATAGGGGCCATGGCAGGATCTACGGCCCCCTTTAAGTGAAGGCCATAGTCCATGTGGAGCTGTGTCCAGGTGGGGATTGGGCTCCCCCTTCTCTCAAAGCCCGACAGAGATTTGAGGGAGCAAAGGCATAACCCAGGGACCAGGTGCCAACCAGCAGGGTGGAGGGAGGGCAGGTAGGGAGAGTCGTGGATGAGCAGCTCTCCTGTGGTCCCTGGGGCCAATGAGAGCCCTGGGGCTCTCTAGCGGTTAGTGATGGGGATCAAGAGAAGAACAGGGAGACTCATCTGAGCTAAAGCTTCTCTCTTAGCTTGTATTTGGCCTGTGTGCAGGCCTGTCGAGATTTAAACTGCAAAAATCGGACAATGCTCTCATTTTTCTGGATAAAAAAGAATCTTGAGTTGCTGAGAGGTCTTATGATCCCGGGTGAATATCACGGCTTTAGGTTAAGACCATAGTTGGCCAGAGCCTTGGAGAACAGACATGCTCCAGCGCCCTGCACCCCAGCACCCTGCCCCACCGTGGTCACAGTGACTCTGTACCCACAGACTATAACCTCTTCCTCAGAGATGTGATGTGGCTGCATTTGGCCCAGAGACGTGGGGGAGGAGCCCTGGCATCTGGGGGAAGAGAATTCTGGCATCCCTGCATTGTAATACAGCCAGTGGGTCAAAGGCCTGAAGGGGATCTACAGATGTTAAGGTAGCTTCTCAGCTCTGCCTTCCTCTCTTGTAGGGCCTGTGGGCAAATGCTGGGCTTTCAGCACTTGGGCAGAGGGAGCGATGGGGAGCCAGAGGAGGGATTTAGTCAGCAGAGGGTGAGGTGACAAAAGGGTCCGGGCCCTTCCTATTGGCTTGGAGCTGAATCATTTCAGAGCTGGAGGAACGGTGGGAGGGGCTAGCAGCGAGGAGAGGCCACCCTGGCCCTCCCTGCCCTCCCACCTGGCCTTCTCCACCTGCTGCTACCTTCAACCTCGTGCCTCCCCCATTTCCACCAGCCAGACACGCAACAGCACCGAGATTTCTACTTACAGGAAGGTGAATTTGGAGGTGGTAGAATCCACCAGGCCACTGCCCCAGGTGCTGTCCACCAGGTGCCATCTCCCCTCCAGGTACACGGCATTCCAGGCGTGGTCAAAGTCCCCCGAGAAGCTCTGCCCCGTCTGGTAGCCAAAGCCCTTGGAGTAGCCAGGCACAGTCATGCACTGCACGCCGGCGATCCTGGGGGCAGGACAGGGGGTCTGAGAGGTGGCTCCTGCGGGGGCTGCAAATCATCACCACCTGCTCCTCCATGGAGACCGAGCAAATCACCTCTGAGACACCTTTCCCCAGGCAGAGCCCGCCTGAGTGCTCTGCCTGCCGCTCTTCAGGAGGACAATGGGTGCAATGGCGAGGATCACCCCAAGAACATGGAAACCAGGAAAGGATGATGTTCTTGAAGAATCAGAGCAGCTCGAAACACGTGGCTGAGGAGCTGGGTCTAGGTGACACGGGTGGGGTGTCATGGAGGGGTGCTGGACGTGAGGGTACAGAAGAAAGCTGAGCCCTACTCTCTCCAGTCATGTGCTGACTGACTGCCCTGGCCACAGTTTCAGCGTCCCCTGTAGACATCCTTTGAGGGGTGGAAATGTTGACCAGTCAGCCTGAGTTCTTCGGCCCTCTCGAGAGTATGCTCCCCCAGTGCTTACAAGCACTCCGGCACCACTTTTGGTGGCCTGGGCAGTGGGGGATGGATGATGGTCACCTGTGGGGACTACAGAAATCATGGGCAAGCTACAATGTGGGCGTTGAAGCTGAAACCCTGAGGCCCACCCCAAGGCCAAAGCAAGAGCCCCGAGAGTCCTTCCATGACCAGCTGGCCTTCCTCTTCAGCCATGGCAGGGACCAGGGTGGGCTGCTCTTCTGACCCAGGGGACGCCCTGTGCGAGTTTTCTTGGGGGTCTTTGTGTGAATTAGAAAAAGGTATTCCTTCTTTAAGACACTTTCCTTTCACATCTGGCGGCTTGGTATAACACACACACTCGGTGCTGTCCAGGATGTTCGCGGCGGCTCCTTCCACGGGGCTCCCTGAGTATCGCACAGGCTGCCCTGCACGCTCTGCCCTCGCCTCACACGAACCGGTTCCTGCTCTGGGTGTTAGTCAGGCCTGGGGGCCTCTGGTGGCCGGGGGCCTTCTGTGGATCAGCGCTGCGGACCCCAGTGCTCTCAACAAGAGGGCCATGGAGCCTCTCCGGGGAAGGGGGAAAACGGCTCCCCGTTCATTATAGGAACAGGGGACATTTTCCCTATAAAAACACATGTTTCTAAATCTTTTTGGTTTTTTTTGAGAGAAAGAATGAGAGAACATGTGCATGTGAGCAAGCGCGTGGGGGGTGGTGGGGGTGGAGGGGCAGAGGGGGAGCGAGAGCGAGACCTGAGCCGAAATCCAGTCAGACGCTCAACCGACTGAGCCACCCAGGCGCCCCTAAAAAGTATGTTTAATTGCCCATTAGAATACTGGATTAAATATTACTTATCATTTGTTGAGAGAAGCAGTGAAGCAAAATGGGGAGCCTGCACGTTTCCACGTTCCACCCTGCTTCAGCCGAACAGTGTCCTGTTCCCACGTCTGCCTGAGCTTCCCTCCTCCGTGGGGTGCAGGCCTGCCCTTCCGCCTGAGGCTTCACAGAAGGGGGGCCAGGCCTCCCAGGCTGTCTGAGACATGCTGCGAGAACAGAGCAGCGAGGCGCTCCAGGAAGGATTTCAGGAGCACTTGGGGAACGGGGCAGAGAGCAAGAGGGACGGGATCCTGATGTCAGGTTTTCCTGCTGCTGAAGGGCCAAAATCTACTCCTGGAGCAGAAGGGCCTTCCAGAGGCAGGAGACACAGGAGGCAGCAGGCCGAGGAGGAGCCCCAGAAGTGCAGCGTGCATGCCTGGAGGGTCCCCTGCCTCATTAGCTGCAGATGCGGTGAAGGGGTGCTTCTGGGGGTCGGAACTGAATGTGTTTACAGTCTCAGAGAAAACAGGCAGCAGAGGGGGAGGGGCGAGAGCCAGGCCAGAAGGGTGGGATAGAAGGCAGATTGGGGGGCTTCCCTGGGAGGTGGGGCTCCACCTACTCAGAGTGAGTGAGAAGTGTGAGGTAAGACACGCTCCTGACACAATATGAACTGACAGAAGCCTATGGAACCCCGCCGTCAGCACAAGGCCCGAGTGTGTGTGTGCGTGTGCGTGCGTGTGTGTGGGGGGGTGTGCTTGTGCAGGGCGAGAGGCAGAGGAGGAGGGCAGAGTGAGACAGGCCAGCTGCACCTGGGCTCCTAGTGATGCGATTACGGGCGATTGTGATTTTCTTCTTTAAACTCCTTTAGATCTTCTAAATTTTCAGTAATGATTATGTGTTACTTTCAGAATTGGAAAAAAGCCATAAATACTACTTGAAATTACATTCTTCGGTGAGTTACTTTCCTTTCTTGCCCAGAAACGTCTGTGTGCATCACCCATTTCCAGGCATGTGTGGAGGGGTGTGGAGTCCTGGGAGGAGTCCTGCGGTAAGCTGGGTTGACGGAGGGGAGCTGCGGCCCTCTGGACGCAGCTCCCCCCAGAGGCCTGGCCTCCGCTCACAGCTTCCTGTGGTCCAGGAAGGAAGGGGAGCGCTGCATGTCCACACGGCCCCCGGGTGCCCCAGTGAAACGGAGCAGGCGCCGCTGTGGGCAGCGGGGCTGGCCGTGTGCCCAGGCAGTGGGCCTGGGGGCACCGTCCCCCCGAGCGGTGGAGTGGAGGTAGGCTTTGAGAACCAGGTTGGGGAGCGGCAGTGAGAGCCCGACCCCAAGCCTGGGAAGGGCGGGAGGAGGCAGAAGTGGGTGGCTGGGTGGGCCGTCACTGGGCCCAGTCAGGCGATCTGGGCTCAGTCTCAGCTCTACAGTTGCCTCCAGGGTGACCTTGCCAGGCCCATCATGGGCAAAAAGACAGGTTGACATTAAATGATCTCTGGGGGGTGCTGTCTATGACAGGCTGGAGGGAAGCTGGGAAGGCCATGGGGAATGCCTGGGGCAGAATAAAGATGAAAAAAAGAAACTTAGCTGTGAGCTTATGCCATGCTTGACTATGATATGAAGATATTTTATTACCCGGCAGCAACGTGCAAGATGAATTGGACAAAGAAGTCATGATGTAAAGCATTATTGTTAATAATCCATAATTCTCACGCAAAACTGGGGGGCTAGTGATTCTAGCTGCCGGTTGCTAGTTAGTTTTTTGATGACCCACAACCATTTCATGCTATCGAAAGATCACTGACTTTTGTGCAAAGTACTGTACCAGGCACCAGGGAATAATATCATATATCCTATCCTATCATATAATAACTACTATAGCCTAATAAAATATTCTGAAAGGAGAGTTCATTGGCTGCCCTAGATGTGCTCATTGTCTCAAGGGGGCAGACAGGTAGACCATTACTAAAATGCTATTGATGCACACAGCCCTTTTAGGGTACCCAAAGGAAGAGGAATTTGCTGGAAAGATCTAGGAGAGCACTGAAGAAGGGACAGAAGATGAGAAATGTTTCCACCTCCTAATGAGATCTCACCAGCCATTCTAGAGCCCCAAATATCATCCCAGGACATCTATCTAATAACCTCAGGCTGCAGTGTCTTGGTTTTTACTTTTGATAGTTTTCAATTGCCAACACCAGGGGTATCAGTTGAGGAGGGGGTGGATCCGGTCCGTGACTATTACTGTATACAGATAGGGTCCGGGTCCTGCCGTGGGAACCGTGTAATACCGCATTAGCCACACCACTGCCAGGCCCCAGCAGGGTGGCCGCATTGTCTGGGGTGGGCAATGTGCCCTGCAGGCGTCAGGATCTGACCATAGTGTACTCTCATCACCTCTCCAGGGTGTGTGGGCCACGTGGAAAATAAGAGAAGGAGGGAGGGATGTAGCCAATGGGAGATGCAATGAAGCATGCTCTTTTTTTTTTGTACCTTGATGAAAATATTGTGATTTTTTAAAAAAGATTTTATTTATTTGTTTGTTTGTTTGTTTACAGCACATGAGCTGGGGGAGGGGAGGGGCAGAGGGAGAGGGGAAGAGAGAATCTCAAGCAGGCTCCTCGCTGAGTGTGGAGCCTGATGCGGGGCTTGATCTCACAACCCTGAGATCATGACCTGAGCCGAAACCAAGAGTTGGCCGCTCAACCGACTGAGCCACCCTGGTGCCCCCCTAATTTTGTGATTTCTGTACTGTAGCAGGACAAGCATAAGCATGGCATACGTTCCACAGATTATGTGGCTGATTTCTTGTAACTCTGATGGTACCTCTATTTCTGCTGTACGGTCCCCTTTCCCTGGTCTCGCACCACCCTTAGTGGTGAGGTCAGTAACTGTAACCACAGTAATTATTCTCACTCGGAGGCCCTGTGTCGGGCCTTCTGGGCTGTGACCTCAGAGCCCTCCTGTCTGACAAGTGAGGAGTCAGCAGAACAAAGAGCGAGGCTGACTCGCCTGGGGACACACAGCCAACCAGTGGCCAGAGCAGCCTCAGGACTCAGTTCAGGAGGCTTCGTATGACACCAGCCCCTCAGTATGCCAAGATTTAATTTATAAATGTATGGGTGTGGCAAAATTAAGGGATGGTTTGTTCTAGTCACATCCTTCATCTCTGCGAGCACTAGCCTTTGGTGTATCTACAAGGGCGGGGGAATTCAGATGTCCCTTTCAGGAATTTTATATGACAAAGTCAGATCTGGGCATAACTTCAGGTAATCCAGGGTGTCTGCCTCTCCCAGGAGGGTGGTGAGATGGTTGCTCCCCAGCCTTTGGGGCCTCTGAAGCCCACTGATGTGCTGGGATCATCTGGGACATCATGCTGAGCAGAAGCCGGATGCTGCTCTTGGTCTCTGTGACAGAGGGAGGACGGATGGAGAACAGGCTGACGTCCGATCGGTGACAACCAGTCTCCCCGGCATCAAAGCCTCAAACCTATACTAAGCTCCTGGCTTTCCCCAAACTCTCTGGAAACTCTGCTGGCTGGTGGTGCTGCAGTCGTGATAACAGGGGGAGGGGTTGTACTGGAGCTGACTTGGTGGCAGGAATCTGGGAAATGAAGCTTGGCCCCCGCAAGGAGGTTAAGCAGAATTCATGAAGGCAGAGGGGAATTGAGGCAAAAGCAGGGACGTTAATGTTGGATGATGGGAGGTCAGAAAGAAACCAGACCAGCAGTTACAAGCAATAGGACTAAAAAGCAAAAACAAACAAAAAACCAAAAAAACCCCTCACATCGATTACTTGGGAAAGACGATGAGGAAATGAAGGATGTTGCAAAAATATCTGAGTTCCCCACCGAATTACTTTATTCAATCAGTCTTTAATGAGGCCATTGCAAGGAAGCAGAATGGATGGGCAGAAGTAATGATGGCCGTGTGGGTACTGCTCTTGCTAAGAGGCCGCCCTGACAACTGAGCCGGGATAAATCAGCAAGTGTGGATTACATGTCTTCTGTTATTAAGGACTCAGCTAATGAATTTACCAAACCTTCGGCAATTATTTGGAAGGTAAGGGAATTAGGAAAGTGATGCATGGGTGAGGTTGCTGATCTTTAAAGCCAAAGTTAAAGGGACCCAGGGAACCGTGAGCTAACGTTAACCATCTGAGCAGTGTATAGAGTTTTTCACATGCTAACTGCCAGGTTAGGACCTAGCTTTAAATGATGCAGAATGTTGGGATGTGTTTTAATGATCAGCTGCAGGCCAGAAGAGGGCCATTGTTAAGCATCTGGATCAGGCCAGAAAGCTGACAGGTTCACTCAAGGCAAGTGTCAATTTTCTGAGTCTATGTGTGTCTGCGGGAAAGTTCCACTGTGCAAGAGCATTCCCATACTCAAGAAAGACAGGCAAGGTTAAAAAACAACCCAACAACCCCAAAGTCAGGTGAGCAAATTCCAAACTGCATGTTCTCACTTAACCCTAGCACTGCCAGCAGGCACTACGGTCCCCATGTACAGATGGGAAAACTGAGGCTCTGAGAAATTCAGTGCCTTTCCAAAGGAACACAATTAACAAGTGGTAAATCAAGGACTGGAAACTAAGGACGGGGGAGCTGAGGGCTGCAAACGTCTTTCTGGCTTTCAGTCTGGCACCCTCCTGCACCATGCTTGGAAGGCTTATACTGGATAAAGAAGGGTACATCCTATGACTGAGAAATCCTAGGACTGAAAAATCAAGTTGGCCAACTAAGATGAAAATTATGCTCTGAAAGGTGCCAGGCAAAAATAGAGCCGAAAACAGACTGAGGGTTAGTCCATGATTTAAAAAGAGAGGAAGGCCCATTTCATACAAATCTGCTAGGAATATCTTGTCATTTCCAGTCATCGTGGGCCTATGGCGTGTAGGATTCTGAGCTGGGCATTCACAGGGGAAGCAGAAACAGAGAGAGAGGGGCTGAAGACACATAAAAGACATACTAGCCCCACAAGACACTGGAGGAAAAATGAGCACAGGTAACACAGGTTAACATGTATATGATAGAACAAAGTCTGGGAGGGAATGGGACAAAATGTTAAGTGTTACCTCTAAGTCGTCAGAGTGACCTAATTTTCTTCTTTTTGCTTCTGTGCATTTTATAAATCATCTATAATTAACAAGTATTTTTTGTTTAATTTGGAGAAGTTATTAAATAAAAGCATAAGGCAAGCCAGGAGTCCGTGTATACGGACGGTGTGCAGACGACATCAAGGGAGGAGATGGGCTGGGGTGAAGGGGGCGTCCAGGAGTGGGGCAGGAAGGAGCATTAGAGAGGGGGGAGCAGAGTGAGCTTGAGGACCCAGAAGTGCGGAGAGTGCCGCAGGGTGCACGGCCGGAAGGGTGCTGGAGGTCAGATTATGGAGGACGTCACAGGACAGTGTGAGCCTGTGGGTCCTGTTCAGGAACCCAGGGCCTGTGGAGTCTGGGCAGAGGGCCAGTGAGGATCCCGGTTCCTGGAGAGGCCCCCAGGCATGTTGGGGTGCCCGGGCCTGGAGCGGGGGCAGGCACGTGAGGGGTGGGAGCGAAGCACTGCTCTGGTGGAGTGGATGGGCTGCAGAGGGGCTGGCATCCGCTGCAGCCTGCCCTGCCCTGGTTGCCTCTGGGACACTGGCCTCAGGGGTGGGGCGTGGAGGGGGCCACCGTGAAGAGCAGGGAGCGAGCAGGAGGCTGGGAGCAGGCACATGTGGCTGCTTGCCGGTGGTGTTGGGGGGTGGGAGGGTCCAACAACGGGGGGTTAGGCCAGGAATGGGCTGCGTGTCTGCAGGAGCAGGACATCTTGGGCTGCCTGTGTGTCGACACGTACACACGTCCCCGACACACCACAACTGCCCACCTGCGGACTCCTGAGTGTCTGTTGCTGCACTTGGTTTGATGAATCTGAGTCCTGGTGGGCTGACATGGGTGCCTGGGAAGACCCACTCCCAGAGGCCTGCAGAGACGGTGGGCAGAGCCTGTCCATCTCCCTGGGGACAAGGCTCTTCAGCGGCCTCCCCGGCTGCCTGATTGTCTCCCGGGGAACCCAGCAGACCTCGGAGAGTGGGCACAGGAAGCTGTGGGGTCGGCGGGGCTCCCCCAGCCTGGAGTCTGTCTCGAGGTCACCCAGAACCAGCAAAGGTGCCTCCGCGCACAAGTGGTCTCCTTACCTGCTGTCACCCACCCGGGCAACCTGGCCAGGAGCACATTCGAGCAATGAAAATGGAGCCCAAAGTCTCCAAGAGAAAAGCTGCTTCCTGGTTATTCAGCCTCTCCAACTGACAAATCTTTTCGGGTAGGAGATCATCCGTTTCCCCCGAGAGAGGGCTCCGGTGCCAGCCCCGAGGACAGGCTTTCACAGTCCCCTTGGCGTCAGCAGCCACTGTCCTACTGTTCCCAGACCTGCCATTCTTCTAACCTTCAGCTGTGCAGAGATCAGAGAAGGTGGAAAAGGGGCCTTTTATAACCAAATTATCTCTGCGCATTCATCTGCCATTATGTTAATGCATCGCGAAGGCAGGCAGATGGTACAAAGTCAATTATGCTGGTGTTAAAAAGGGAGAAATTGACCTTTTCAGGACTCACTCGGATTCCAGAGCAGAGTTTGCAAACTCCGGTTTCAGGCCTGGCATGTGCGTGAAGGCGCACGGCGCTTTGGAAGGGGCGAAGGGAGGGGTCACAGCAGTCAGCCCAGGACTGCCTGCCTTCCATGGGACCCCTTCTTGTACCTGCACATTTTCTCAAAGAGTCCAGCGTAGCCGTCACAGTTGGTCTTCCGGGTCCGTAGGATGTCGGTGGGCTTGAAGGCCTGGCAGTCCTTCTCCTGGGCAGCCTCGATGTCGTACTCTGGAGGGCAGAGGAGACTGTGAGCCAACAGGTCTTGGGAGGCAACCAAGGCTGGTGCAGAGCAGAGGGGTCCGTGGCCTGCGGCGCCGTCCCCGCCCTCCGCTGTGCTTTCAGCACCATTTGGGCTGGCCTCTCTCAAGTCCCGGAGAAACCGCTGTAGGCTGAAGGGAACCAGGGCCCCCAGCCAGGGCAAACTTGGGGAAATGTCGCCTCCTTGGGCAGGTGGCAAGAGGAAGAGCGAAGCATCGGCAGAGCAGGCTGCCTGGCTTGTCAGGCCTTTGAGGAGAGGCTGAAAGGGAAGGGGGCCAAGACAGCACCAGGCCGTGGGGGCTCTGCCCTTGCCCTCCCCACCACACAGCTCGGCAGGCCGTTCCCGTGAGGCTGCTCCCCCATCCCTGCTGCGGCCACCCCCAAGGCCTCACACTGACCCCCAGGGGGTGCCCTGAGCTACCGCTAAACAGGCTGTCCGTTAGTGAAGGCCTGGAGGGAGGCCCTGAGGCAGGAATCCCTGTGGGCACTGAGGGCACGAAGGGAGCACCTGTGAAGGTGGCAGACAGTAAGTGAAGTCCTACCTAATGCTCTGTTTCTGACTCTGCTCCTTTAAGGCCCCGGGCTAAACGGAGCTGCTGGTTTTGGGGAGGGAGGAAATGGCCTCTCAGACCCTGTGGTCAGATACCCTACCTGTGTCAGGTGAGTTCCTCCTCTAAGCTGCATCCCTCACTGCTGCTCTGGGAGGACAAAGGAAAAGCCCAGTGGCAGCAGATCAGGAGAGCCCCCCGCTGGTTGTCAGGTCACAGGGAAAGCGCTAAAAGTCCACCCCACCACCTGGCTCTTCCATTGACTGCAAGGGGCAGCATCCAGCCTCCCCCTAGCCACCCCCATGGGGCCTGGCTTGACCTGGCCAGATCCTCAAGGCTGTCCTGTGCAGAGTTAGGGACAGGTGCACAGGCCCAGGCCCCCTGAGGTTGCTCTGAGTGCCTGGTGACGGGGCTGAGATCGCGGGTGTGGGAACAGGGAGAGAGGGAGGCGAGCCCACTCTTCCTGGCACTGGTGCTTTAAGAAACCTCTGGTGTTGCAATAACTTTCCAACAGCTATGAACCTTCCCCATTCTTCTTGGAGATGACCTTCTGTCCTGGGTTCTCAGGTCTGTGCAGCAGGTTTACCAGGAAGCCAGCACTGAGGGAATGCTGCCGCTGGGTAAAGGGCCTAAGCTCTGGTCACTGACTGTGGGCAGATGGCCACAGGGGATCCCTCACCCAACGACCCTTTATGGAGACTGTTAGTACATGGTGAGTTTTACTCTCCTTGGTTAGTCTTTGGTTATTCAACCTAGCCATCTGGGAACCCTTCTCCTCCACTGTCTGTCTCACTCCATACACACTGGTGGTCAAGTGAATCCCAGAGAGTCTCCCCTAGAAACAGGGTCCTGCAGGGAGTGGCATCAGGGGAGTCCTAGGGCCAGTGGCACCACAGGTGGGCCTACCTATGTGGTGGCAGATCCAGATCCAGATCACGCGGACCCTCTCCAGGTCACTGTGGGCCTCCTGGAGCAGGTCGCTCACCAGCTCATCCAGGCCACTGTTGACTGTCACCTGGGGAGTGGGAGGGGTGTGCTATGTCAGGGCCTGGATGAGGGCGGTGGGAGCCCAGTGCCCTGCCGCCAGGAGCTGGTGCTGCTTTTCCTCCAGGCAGAGGAGGAAGAGGAGGAGAGGGCCAGAGGCACAAGGGCTAGGCTGAGCGCGGCCCTTGGTGGGGGGCCGGACATATCAGGTAGTGCTGACCAGCTGAGTCACTGGCCCTAGAGCCACATATCTTTTCTCGGCAGACCTGGGGCCAGCCAGGTGGGTGGGCATCTGAGCGGCTACCGCAGCCCCTACTCATGGTCAGTACTACCCAAAGCGATCTATGGACTTAACACAATCCCTATAAAATTCCAACAGCCTTTTTTGCAGAAATGGAAAAGCCAATCCTCAACTTCATATGAAATTGCAAGGGGCCCAGAATAGCCAAAACAATTCTGAAAAAAGAAGAACAACATTGGAGGACTCACATTTCTGAATTTCAAAACTTAACTACAAAACTATAGTAATCAAAATAGTGTGGTACTGACATACGGATCATATAGGCGGGTGGAATAGAACTGAGAGTCTAGAAATTAACTTATACACCTATGGCTAACTGACTTTTTTGACAAGGATTACAAGTCTGTTCAGTGGGGAAAGAATAGTCTGTTTAACAAAGTCCAGTCTGTGCTGGACAACTGGATATCCACATACTAAAGAATGAAGTTGGATCCCTACTTCATATACAAAAATTAACTCGGGGCTCCTGGGTGGCTCAGCTGGTTAAGCATCCGACTCTTGGTTTTGGCTCAGGTTATGATCTCAGGGTTGTGGGATTGAGCCCCGTGTTGGGCTCTGTGCTGGGCAGGGAGTCTGCTTGAGATTCTCTCTCTCTCTCTCTTTCTCTCTCAAAATAAATAAATAAATCTTTTAAAAAATCAATTCAAAAAGGATCAATGGCTTAAATAAAAGAGCTTAAATGATAAAATTCTTTGAAGTAAACACAGGAGTAAATCATCATGACCTTGGATTTGGCAACGGATTCTTCGATATGATACCAAAAGCACGAGGTACAAAAGAAAAAATAGATTAACTGGGCTTCATAACAATAAAAAAACTTCTGGGCATCAAAGGACATTATTAAGAAAGTGAAAAGACAACTTACAGAATGGGAGAAAATATTCACAAATTACATATCTGATAAGGGATGAATATCCAGAATATGTAAAGAACTCCTACAACTCAACAACAAAGAGACAAACAACCCAATTTTAAAATGGGTGAAGGCCCTGAATATACACTTCTTCAGAGATATATATAAATGGCCGATGAAAAGCTGTGCCACATCATTAGTCCCTAGGGAAATGCAAACCGAAACCACGGGACGCCACTTCACACCCCGTAGGAGGGCTGTAGTAAAAAAGATAGCAAGGGTGTGGAGAAATGAGAACCGTTGTGCATCGTTAGTGGAAATGTAAAATGGCGCAGCTGCTGTGGAAAAACAGTTTGGTGGTTCCTAAACAGGATTATCGTATGATCCAGTAATTCCACTCCTAGGTATATACCCAAGAGAACTGAAGACAGATGCTCTGGCAGATACTTGTTCACCTATGTTCACTGCAACATTATTCACAATACACAAACGGTAGAAACAACGAAAGCGTCCATCACAGACAAACAGGTAAACACATGTCGTATATCTCTACGATGAAATATTATTCATCCACGAAAAGCAATGAAGTTCTGACACATGCCACAACATGGATGAACCTTGAAAACATAATGCTCGATAAGCCAGACACAAAAGGACACGTACTGGATGAGTCCACTTATGTGGAATATTGAGAGTAAACAAGTTCAGAGAGACAGTAAGTAACGTAGAGGTTAGCAGGGAGAACAGGGAGTGACTGCTTCATGGGTACGGCCTTTTTGTTTGGGGAGATGGTTGTACAATATCATGAATGCATTCAATGCCACCGAGTTGTACCCTTAAACATGATTAATATGGCAAATTTTATATTATATGTATTTTACCACAATTAAAAAAAAAAGAACAAATTAGGTTTTCTCGCAGGGGCCCTCGGGAGGAAACACGGTTGGGATTCTAGGAAAGGCTGCTGTGACCATGTTTAATCTTTCTAGAGAAGCTGGGGCAACTGTGTGCTTAATTCTGCGAAAGTTGCCCACGCCTTGGCCAGCCCGCACCCTAAGGTACTCCCTGAGCTCCTGGATCCTTTCCACCACTCACATCAGAACCCCCCCGGATGCACTGTCTGACCACAAGGAGACCTCTGGAGCCCGCTTCTGCCTCCTACCTGCCTAGCTCCTTCTGTTCAATGTCCAGCTCCAACTCCACAGTTCTTGTCTTCGTCCCTCTCCCAGAGCCAAGGACAGTGCCTGACACATTGCAGGGCCCTCACTCAGCCTGGCTGACTCCTGACTTAACCTCCTGGCTTCTGGGCCTTTGGGTCCCCACCTCCCGGCTCTACCTGGGCCTGGCTGGCTCTGGACACCCACTGCTTTGCAGCTGGGTCTCTGGCCTCAGCTGGGCTCCTGGCACTGCTCTCCAAGCCTCGCCTGTCCCTTCTGGTGGCCATTACAACATACTCACCCTCCTCAGACCCTGACACCGCCTCCCTTCCCTCCCTCTCAGAGACAACCTGGCCTAAGACTCAACATGGCTCAGTCAGGACTTCCCCTTAACGAGCCCTCCCTCCTGCACAGCCAGCCTCTCTGTCAGCCTCCAGTCCGGGCCTCCTGTCTTTGCAGGCCTTGCTCTTCCTCAGGCAGCACCCCTGCTCACCTGTGTCCTCACCTCCTCCCTTCTAGGCCTGGCTGCCCTATCCCCTCCCCAGATCTCTTTCTTAGGGCTGCCTACATCTCGCTTCCTCTTCTCTGCCAGGCTCCTGTGGGGTCTTCTCCCCACTCCCTCCTCCTTCATCCCCGCTTTGCATCTCAGCCTGCCAAGTCTGGCTGAGGCTCCCACGACGCCCCTCTGACCTGCCCCTCTGGCAGTAGGAAGCACTTCAGCGCACAAGTGGTGGAAATGAGTCTCTCCTAACCTCACTTGACCAGACTGAATGGCGCATGCTATTGGCCATCCTCGACCTCAGGGAGCTCTCCTTGCACCTCCGAGAACACTGATCCTTCCTTGTCTTGCCCTGGTCTCAGGTGGCTCAGGGCCCGTTTGGACCTCCTGCCCTGTCCTCCCCAAGATGACACCCACCCTATGGCTTCAGCTTCAGCTAAATGTGATGGTTCCCGGATCAGTGTTTCCTGCCCACATATCTCCAGGCTGGATAGGGCTCCAGGCTTGGAGACCTGGCTGCCCAGTGGTCATTTCCCGTGGCTGTTCCACAGGTACTAGAGCCCACTGCCCCTAAACAAACTTGTCATCCCCTGAGACTTGCTCCTGGTAGCGAGGAGCTGTCCCACCCTTGCTCCGTCGCTCAGTCCAGCCGCCTGTGAGCCTCCTGCCTTCCACCTCCCTCACACACACCGGGATGGAGTCCTCCCTCTGCCTCCAGCTCAGTGCTGACCTTTCCACTCCTCTCTGCTCTCATTGTTCCCATTTAATCCACGTCACACCGGCTCCTGCCGGGACAGCAAACGGCTCCCTACTGACGGCCCTGCCTCTAATCTGACTCTGGATCCAGGCCCCTATCCATCCACTCATCAATTCAACAAACAAGGTTCCTGAGCACCTACTATGTGCCAGCCACACGATGGTCTTTTTAGACTATAGATGACCTCCCTGCTTACCAGCCTCCGATGGCTCGACTTCAGCAATGGGTCCAGCTCCGTGGCCCTTCTAATCAGACTCTTTGTCGTAGGGCTCCTGCCTGGTTCCCAGGACCCCAGTGTGTCTCTAGTGCTTCAGCTTCTGTAGTTGCTTCTCCCCAACCCCGCCCCAGATGAGGCCAGACCCAGAGGTGAGAGCTTGGCAGCCCACGTGCTCCAGGGGTGAGCATGGTTCTGGTCACAGTGGGTGCTGGCCAGTTGCATCCATGGCCCTCCCTCATCCTCTTGCTCCCTTCCTTCATGGGCCAGGGGTGGCCTGGCTCAGCAGCAGCAGCAATGCCCCAGGGGACAATGGCAGGGGGGGCAGGATAGGGTTGGTCAGAGGGGCCTGCCAGTGGGGCACCTGCAGGGTGGGTACCCTTGGGGTGGACGCATCAGGACCCCGTGGGTGGCACTGGGGGGATGGAATGGCCTCCTGTCCTGGGCAGGAGTCTGGTGCCTTGGCCTTCTTTCCCCCATCCATACGATGTGAAGAGGCACTCTGGGCCGTCTGTCCAAGGGACTGCAGATGCCTTCAGGAGGGGCCTGAGGAGAGGCTTCATTACCCTGACTCGGGAAACTCCAAGCCACCTTCTCTTACCTGTGAGGCATAGGTGTCCAGTTTCTCAAACTGCCGCAGGTCCAGGGGCATGGATTTCAGGCTGGACCGATCCCAGGGGTAGGCTGGAAACACAGGGAGGCTCAGTCAGCTACTGAGGGCTGCTGACAAGGGGCCTCTCTGTCTTTTTGAGGAGCTGGGATTGCCTGACCTTCAACATGCTTCCCAGAGCCTGAAAAACTGCTCCCAAGAGCTAGATCTCCTAGAAGGGTTCCTTGGTCAAATTGGCTTGTGAACGATGGCAACTCCTCTAGTTCTTTTGGAGACTCACAGGGGATCTAAGCCTATTTGCAGACCCCAGGAAGTCAGCAGTAAAGAAACTAATTTCCCCTCAATTAACTCAGCAGTGCCCAGACAGATTAATGATGGAGCCTCCTTCTCCCCATCTTATAGTTTTCTGCAGATTTCCTGCGAACTGTTTCAGGAATGAGTGCTCTGTGGGAAGTGCCCAGGAATGCTGCCAGTCCCCGGTGGGCTCAAGAAAGGAAGGTCTGTGGGGTGCCTGGGTGGCTCAGTTGGTTAGGCAGCTGGGGTCCTGGGATCGAGCCCCACGTCCGGTTCCCTGCTCAGCGGAGAGCCTGCTTCTCCCTCTCCCTCTGCCTGCCACTCTGCCTACTCGTGCTCTCTCTCTGTCAAATAAATAAATAAAATCTTTAAAAAAAAAAGAAAGGAAGGTCTGTGCCATAGCCACAGTGCCCAGGGTGGAGGGCACCCTGGGTATCGAAGGAGGGTGTGCTAGACCAGGCCATGCAGGCTTCTGTAGGGTAAAGTGGGTTTGGCACCCAGACAGGCTTCCTCCTGTGCCCACAGTCAGCTGGAGACTGGAGCACCCCAAAAGCTACGTGTGTTCTAGCAACAGGCACCCCAAGTTCTGTGGGGAGGCCTCTGAGGGACGCTGTGCCCCAGAATCACTCATCTGTGCTCGCCTTTCTCATAGGAAGCCGGGACACAGGACAGCCCCAGTCAGCTGCTGCAGGGCTAACTGACCAGTGGTCAGACCAGCCATGGATGGGCAGCAAACCCCTGTCTCAGCCTGAAAGAGAGCCTGGGCTCTGGCAGGGTCCCTCTTTTTTTTTTTATTATGTTATGTTAATCACCTAAATACATTACATCATTAGTTTTTGATGTCGTGTTCCATGATTCACTGTTTGCATATAACACCCAGTGCTCCATGCAGAACGTGCCCTCTTTAATACCCATCACTGGGCTAGCCCATCCCCCCACCCCCCTCCCCTCTAAAACCCTCAGTTTGTTTCTCAGAGTCCTAGTCTCTCATGGTTCTTCTCCCCTTCTGATTTCCCCCCCTTCATTCTTCCCCTCCTGCTATCTTCTTTTTTTTTTTTTAAACATATAATGTATTATTTGTTTCAGGTACAGATCTGTGATTCAACAGTCTTACATAATTCACAGCACTCACCATAGCACATACGCTCCCCAATGTCCATCACCCAGCCACCCCATCCCTCCCACCCCCCACCACTCCAGCAACCCTCAGTTTGTTTGCTGAGATTAAGAATTCCTCGTATCAGTGAGGTCATATGATACATGTCTTTCTCTGATTGACTTATTTTGCTCAGCATAATAGCCTCCAGTTCCATCCACGTTGTTGCAAACGGCAAGATCTCACTCCTTTTGATGGCTACCCTGAACGCGCCCGATCTCGTCTGGCTGGGTCCCTCTTATTCAAGGTCCCTTATTCAAGGCCGACCAAATCAGGCAAGCTGGGTGGGAGGCCAGGGAATGGGCAAGGAGGGTGGGGCCAAAGGGATGCTGATCCCTGAACTCGCTGATAACCCAACTCCCCTGAGAGGGGTGCTGGTGGGGCCCCAGCGTATGGCAGCCAGCCTGGAAACCGCAGAGCAATATGGGAAAACACTTGATGGGGGCTCCATGAAGCCTAGGTTCTCGTGGGGGCCTGACCTTCACGACCTCCACCTCCCTGGGGGCTGCTGGACTCAGGTGCACATCTATAGGGCACCTGGGAGAGTGAAGGAGACGGCGGATCATGTTGTAAGGTCAGCACCACTCTGCTCCCTGGGAAGGTGCAATGTGGGGGTCCTCTGTGGGCAAGCATAAGAAGAGAGGTATAAAGCCTCTGTGCCCGCTGTGGGGGCTGCAGCTTCATCTGCCCGCACATTCCTCACCTTGGTGCTGCAGGCCCAAGACCTGGGGTGAGAGAGAGGGGAGGAGCTCCTGCACGACCCTCCCTGGCCAGTTCTGGCTGAGAGGCAGTGGCAGCTGGTTAGGGAGCTGGCCAATTTCCGGCCACAGAGGTGCCCCCAACCTTGGTCAGCTGTCCGAGCAGCCCATGTGGGTCCGCCCGCATTTCCCCACCCCAGGAAGGTCCCTTCCTGTTAGGAACCGGGCCTTCTTTCTTCACAAACGAACTGGATCTGGCACATTCCCCAAGGCCACTCTGCGCTGCGTTCTTGCTTCTTGCTGACACTCTGCAGCAGGCCCTGGAGGGGTTTGGTCTCTCTGACTCCAAGCCGCTGACTGGGTCCTCACCATGTCATGTGCTCGGACACATCCAGGATCTGAGGGCTGTTCCTCACCCAAGAGGGGGCAGAGAGTGCTGGGGGCGGGCAGGCTATGTAAACCCGACCTTGAGGCCGTGGTTGTCACTCACCAACCTAGCATTTTCTGCTCCTTCTACAAGGGACCAAGACGTTTCCTGGATCCTCCCAAAACCTTCTGTTCTGTACAGTCTTACCCTGGGGCTCCCTGGAAGCCTAGCACCATTGTGGCTCACTCCTCTGTTGCTGGAGCTGGGATCTCTTGTCTCTCATTACTTAGATCACTGTCAGTCCCTATTCTGTGTGGCGTGAGCTCAGCCCTTGTCCAGCCAGCCCCTAGGGAGGCGGTGGGGACCCGCAGCAGGCTCTCAGTGCCTTCTCCCTCCATGGAATCTGGATCCTGCCATTCTCTGACAAGGGCTAGCAGGCTCACCTAAGTGGATATGAAGTGGACTTACATTTAACAAATTTCCGCTCAGCACAACTCTGCAAATGAGGTCTCCCCCACCCCCACTGAGAACAAGGATGACATTTCTAAAATGGGACTGAAAACCTTATTACTAATTTTACCCTTTCTTGGTTCCATTTTACAATATCTGAACATTAAAAATACCCACAATGATTTATGCCTCATTAAATTTACCTTCTGAAGAGATTACATAAGATCTAAATATGATTTTGCATAATTACATTTAAAATACCAGTGGCATTAACAGAATTATTCTAATTTTAAAGCAAAACAATGGGAAGAAGTGCCAGACTCTACCAAACCTGAGATACCACCTGGTCTACTGAGAGGAAAACTGAGGCCCGAGGAAGGTGAGTGAGGGACAAAAATAGGATTCAAAGCCAGGCCATCTATCACCCCATTCAGGGTTTTACCCTCTGTCCCATTCTGGTATTCACATGCCTCCTACCTTACAGATGCTTGGCATTCCATTTAAAGTTAACACAGTTCTGAATTCTGTTTTTAATATGTTTTCTGTAATGGGCTGCCTTGTTTTTGGGGTTTATGCTTTAGCTTTGGGGTCACATGGTGTGTGAGCTTCTCATTACCCTGCCTGTGTCCATGGCAGACATTGCTAATCAATCATGATACGCATCTCCACCTTGAGTGCAGAGGTAACCCCAGACTCTCAAACAGATTGGCCCATGAGGCTAAACCAATTCACCACCTCACAGAACAGCCCTGGAGAAGGCCCTGCAACTCACCATGGGCATCTTTTGCTCCAGGCTGCCGGGGTCTTGTGTTTCCATTTTTCTCACCTTGTAAACCTGCAATATCCCAAAGGTCAGAGGTAGAGACGCTTCAGAAGAAATCAAAATGCAAGCACAGATGATTGTCTATGTGGTAGTGCTGGCTTCTGACTCCTCCTCTTCACTGTCTTTCCCCAGCCTTCTTGCTCCCATACCACCCACCATCTATTACTGCTGGAATTGCTCTGGACTTCCTCCTGAGGTTGAGGAAGGACTGGGAACCAGGGAGGGAATGACAAGAGAGATCATTGCAGTCTGTGACCAAAGGTGGAATTTACTCCAACAGCAACACTTTGTGTTCCTCAGCGGGTCTACCTGGAGCCTGGAGCTCCTGCCCTGCTCTGGATTGCCCCCGCCATCTTGGAATACATCTGGGGATGCTTTAAGAGCAGCAGTGTATTCATTGTCAGTTAAGAACTGACCATGGGAAGAAATGAATGTGGGACAAGGGAAAGGCAGTGTCTATGGAGTTGAGACGCAAAAAGGTCAAGCAATTATTAAATTGTTCTTCAGGAAGGTTCAAGGGCAACCAAATCCTATCAGTCCAGGGCTGTTAACGTAGAATGGTTGCCAACAGTTATTCGACTCCGTGGAAACAGGAGAGGAGCTGCTGATTTGAAACGAGGTCAGGAAGATGTGGGCGTCTGATGGAACCAGGAGGAGCTGGGGAGTAGAGTGTCAAGGCGGGCTGTTCTATGCCCTTGAAGCCCACCGAAGGTTGTCAATACAACAATGGAAGGTTGCTAATGTATAGAGGCACAGAGAAACAGTGGGCTGTTTGTTTCTTGCATCCATATTTTACTTCCAAGTTCATTCTTTGGTAGAGTAATGAGGATTCAACATCGAGCTAGCATTTCTTATGCACTTACTATGCCTGCCTACCTTGTGCTTTAGATTGACTGTCTCATTTAACTTCACAACAGTCTTATGAAGGAAGGTGAATTATTTTCCTTCTTTCATAAATGAGGAATTTGATTGCAAAAGGGAGGTTAAGCTACTTGCCTAAGGTGATAGCTGAGATCTGAGCCTAGCCAGTTGACTCCAGGGCCTGTCTGCTCTACACCCGACTGCCCTTTTGAGACCCTAACCACTGAGGGCTGCAGGACCAGGCATCCAGGAGGGTCTGCCTTGCCCATACATGGACATGGAGATAACCCGAGCCCTGGCTGCTCTGGAGCCTTCATTCCTTGGCCAGCGTTTCCCCAGATCCCTTTAGCCATAAGGTAGACAGATGCCCGGAGAGGACCAAGAAGGGAGTGGAAGAGACATGGTGGGCCTGAGTCTATGCACCTTGCACCGAAGACAGCCAAGCGTGGTGGCTGAGAGCACAGGTCTCAGGCAGACCTGGTTCTGACCCACTTCCTAGCTGGTCCCTTGGGCAGTTATTTTATCGCTCGGGACCTCACTTTGCTGACTTATAAGGTGGGGATGATGCTGGTTTATACCTAAGGGTTAAAAAGTTAACGAATATAAAATCTTTACCACTGTGTATGCCACTTTTTAGGCAGACAATAAATGGTATCTAAAAACAACACTCTTGTGATGAAATTCATCTTTAGCTAAATGCCTTGTGTTACCCACACCTAATTGCACAGACTCAAGAACAATGGGCGTTAGTTATGGAGAAAAGAGGTCCCAGAATGAGGCTTCTTTTCAGTGTGTAGGCCTAGGTTATCCCTCTCCTTCCCCAGAAGAGGCCTAGGTTGGGCTCTGGCCCATTAAGTGACTTTGATTCCTCCCTGCCAGCCCTCCACACACAAGCAGCCCTGTACGTACGTACGTTTAGCCAAGGAGAACTTCTTGAGCAGCTGGGGCATGGCATCTCGGGGGTGGACCTCCACAGTCAGCTGTGTCCCTGCAAAGGAATGGGAGGTGACATTCTCAGCCAGATGCTGCTAGGAAAGAGTGCAATGTCCCGTGACAGATGTTTGAACAACAAAACACAATTGGTTTTAAGCTTTCTTCTGAATATATAAATAATTCTTGTTTAAAAAAAATGAAAAAACAAAATAGAAACAGACAGTCCAGGCAAGATGGAATAAGAACATTTTACCTTGTCTTTCCCACTGAATGTGACTATAAATGTTGGGAAGAATGTATGGAGCAACTATTTGAGGATTCTGTAAGGTAAATCAGAGAAGGCAAGCTGGGGAATAAGATTAGAATTTAAGTGAGCTTACCATTCCCCTCCCCCTGTGGTTATTACTTAGACTGGACTCAAAGGCAGTCCCAAACCCAGAAGTGCACAAAGGGTACAGAGAAATAGTGTTCCAAGAGAAGTCCTTTCTGTGGAGTAAGAAAGGAAACCTTTAAGAGTCAGAGGGTGTGGGGGAAATCCCCTGTTGTACCCCCGTCTTTTTTCTGTTATCTCTCCACTCAGCCTCTAGGAAAGTCTGTTGGTAGCAGTGTAGCAGTGATTTTGTTGGTCAGCCAAAACCTTAAGCACCTAAGTCTTTGAGGGAGGGCACCAGAGAAGCTATGATTCCCTAGAGTGTGGGGGCAAATACTCATTGTTGTTTTTTTTTTCTCTCTCTCTCTGTCCCATACTGATTGTGTCTAGGTGCAGAGTTATGAGAAGTGCCTGGCAGAGTGGGGAAACTAAAGTCCAGCTTTTGTGCTGGAGAATGGGAAGTGGATTATGAAGGGGAGGGAGCTCAAGAAAGCAAATCCATACAGGTATGGATGAACTCTTGTGGTCACCTCTATGTTGAGCATACATGGATCTCATCCTAAGCATCATACCCCAGTCTTTGAGAACTAAACTGATGGGGTAGACCAATGCCTCGACTGGCCACTGGGAGGTGTATGTGCAAGGCAGATCTGTATAGCACTGCAAAGGCTACGATCCAAAATCACCCAGCACAGCAAGAACCAGGAATATCTATACTGGAAAGGAAAAGATAATCAACAGATGTTAACTCCAGGATGACATAGATTTCGGAATTATCTGACAGACTTTCAAATAGCTATAGTAACCCTGTCCTAAAAAGTGAGGGCAAATAGTCTTGAAATAAATGGAAAGATACCAAGAATCAGCAAAACATCAGAGGCTATAAAGATAAAACAAATAGAAATTTTAGAGCTTAAATATAACAGTTTGAAAAATTATCTGGATATGCTAAATAGTAGAATGGCAATGACAGAGGAAAGAGTCAATGAATTTGAAGAAAGATCAATAGAAATTATCCAATATGAACAACAGTGAGAAAAAGTGAACAAAACTTCAGAGACCTGTGGGATAATACTTAAAGATCTAACATTCATGTTATTGAATTCCCAGAAGGAGAGGAGAAATAGTGTGGTGCAGAAAAAAAAAAAAAAAAGAAGAAGAAATAATGAGAAAATAATCAATGAAACCAGAAGCTGGTTCTTTGGAAAGATCAGCAAAATTGATAACCAGATTGACCAAAGAGAAAGGGAGGTAAGACATGAATCAGGAATCAAGACACCAATATCAGGAATGAAATAGGTAAGACCACTACTGATCTCATATATATTAAAAGAATAATAAGGGAATACTACAAACAGCCCTATGCACATAAATTCTACAACTTAGATGAAATGGGCCAATTCCTTGAAAGTTACAAACTACCAAAACTCATCCAATGAGTAGATAACACCTCAATATCCCTGTATCTATTTTAAAAACTAACTGTAGTCAAAATCTTCCAAAAACAAACAAATGCCAGGTCCAGATGACTTCATTGACAAATTCTAAGACATATTTAAAAAGAAATAAGACCATTTTTTAAATAAGATCTTTCAGAAAACAGAAGAGTAGCAAATATTTCATTACCCATTTCATGAGGCCATCATTCATCTGATACCCAAACCAGACAAAGACAGCATAAGAAAGAAACACTACAGACTGATATTTCTCTTCTTTTTCTTTTGTTTTCAGACCGATATTTCCTATGAACACAAAAATTCTCAAAAAATATTAGAAAATTAAATCCAGCAATATAGTAAAGGACCAATATAGCACGATCAAGTGTGGTTTATTTAGGCAATTCAAGGCTGGTTCAATATTTGAAAACCAATGAATGTAATTCACCTAATAATATTAGCAGGCCGAAGAAGAAAAGAACACATGATCATATCAATTGATGCAGGGAACGCATTTGACAAAATTTAACATCTATTCATGACAAAACCTCTCAATAAACTAGGAATAGGAGGGAGCTTCCTTAATCTGAAAAAGGGTATTTACCAAAAATCTATAGCTAAGAGCATATTTAATAGTCAAAAATGGAATGCTTTCCCCCTAAGATTGGGAACAGGCATGGATGTCCATACTCACTGCTCCTAATAAACATTGCACTGTAATTTCAACCCAGTAAAATAAAACAAGAAAAATAAATAAAAGTCTTATAGATTGGAAAGGAAAAAAAAACAAAACTCTCCTCTTTCACATATGACACATCTCTCTACATAGGAACTGTCAAGTAATCTAGAAAGAAGTTCCTAGAACTAATAAGAAAATTTAGCATGGTCACAGGATACAAGGTCAGCACCCAAAAATCAATTATATTTATATTCATAACAAATGATTGGAAATTGAATTTAAAAATTACTATTTACCATAGCTCCAAAAAATTGAAATACCTAGTATAAATCTAAAAAAAGTTCAGGAGCTATATGTTGAAAACTACAAAATATGATTAAACAAATTAAAGAAGACTTAAATAAGTGGGAAGACATACCATGTTCATGAATTGAAAACTCAATATTTTTAAATTGGCAAGTCTCCCTAAATTGATCTATGTAGATTTAATGCAACTCGATTCAAATTCCTTGGAGAATTTTATATATTTTAGATTTAGGCAAGATGATTCTAAAATATAGATGGAAAGACACAGCAACTTGAGGTTTTTCTTGAAAAAAAAAAAAAAAAAAGTTGGAGGACTCCAGCCAGCTGATTTTAAGATGTGTTATAAAGCTACAGTCATCAGTGTGATATTGGCACAGGGATAGATACATAGATAAATGGAGCACTGTTAAGAAATAGAGCCATACATATATGGCAAATTGATTTTTTACAGACGTGCAAAGACATTCCAATTAGAAAATGGGTAAAAGAAAAGATATTCACCAAAGAAGAGATTACAGATGGCAAATAAGCACAAGAAACTATGTTCAACACGATTAGCCATTAGGAAAATGCAAATTAAAACCACAATGAGGTATCATACCTATTAGAAGAGCAGTAATAAAAAATAGCGATAATACTATATATTGACAAAGTTGTGGAGAAATCAGATCTCTCATACATTGCTGGTGGGACTGTAAAGTAGTATAGCAACTCTGGAAAATAGTTCGGCAGTTTTGTATAAAACAAAATATACACCAAACATATAAGACCCAACAACTGTACTCTTGAACGTTTATCCCAGAGTATCCCATATTCTGTTCCAAGTGGTCTCAGAACTTACGTTCACATGAAAACCTATATAGAAATGTTTATAGAAACTCCATTCACAATGACCCCAAACTGGAAACAACCTAAATATCCTTCAGTGGGTGAATGGATAAACACCCTGTGGTACATCCATATAAAGGAATACTTCTCAACAATACAAAGAAACTCTTAGGAGAGGCAAAAGGATATAACTACAGAGATTCTGCACAAGGGTATTTTGGGGTGACAGAACTGCAATGTATTCTGAATGTAGGAGTGGTTACATGAGCATGTGTTATGCGTGCATTAAAACCCACAGAACTATATATCAGATAATTCTGTTTTAGTAATTTAAAATAAAAACAAATAAAAATAAGTACCAACTGAGCAAAAAAGCCTGAGCAAAATTAAAACAAGAATTTGGATGATACAGAAAGATATAAAATAGAAAGTGAAAGTCCAAAGCAGGATTATAGTAAACATATTCTTTGTAACCTGCTTTCTTTTCTTGACTCTTCACATGTCAGTGAATATAATCCTATGTCATCATTTTAAGTGGGCTGCATAGAACTCTATTCTATACATGGTTTATAACCCATATAAGCAATCCCTTTTGGTAGAATAGTTAACTTTTCCCAAATGTTTTGTTATTATAATCCGTGATGTATGAACATTCTGATGCACATCTCTTTATGCACTTTTCAAATCAGTTTCTTTAAATAAATTCTTAAATATGGATCAAAAGTTATGGAAATTTTTAAGGCTTTTGTTCTATATTAGCAAACTTCCCATGAATGATTTTATCTGTTGATGACCACACCAACAGCACAAGAGGATATCCATTTTGCTCATTCTTGCTGTGTTTGATTGCAAAATTGGTCACAAAACTTTGTACTTCTGAGAGGTCTTTTGTTCTGTCCCTTGAATGTGAGCTATCCTTACGACGTGGTTTGGCTAGTTAGCATGTGATGTTAATAGTAGTGATGCTGGGCAAGCTCTGAGCCTAGGTCTCAAGAAACTTTGCAGCTTCCGTCCTCATTCTTGGGATTCCAGCCACAAATACCATGTGAATGAGCCCAGGCTAGCCTGCTGGAGGAGGAGAGACCACGTGGAACAGAATAGAGGCATCTCAGGTGAGGCCACCCTACCCTACCTTGTCTCTAGCCAACTTACCAGCTGACCACAAATACACGAGCAAGCCCAGCCAAGACCTGTGATAACTGGGTGTGTCTCGGGCAAGAATGCCTGGCCAACCTGTGCCCTTGTGAGCTGGTAAATGCTTATTGTTTTAAGCCACTGAGTTTTGGGGTGGTTTGTAATATAAAAGTAGATCATTGATATATTCACTAACATTTGATTTTTATTAATCTCTGAAATTTTTATTAATGAATAATGACATCTCACTTTTGTGTATTTAATTTTTAATGTATTTTTCATATATTTATTTGCCATTTAAA